AAATTCCTCAACATAATAAAGGGTATCTATGCAAAACCAACAGCCAACATTATTCTCAATGGAGAGACTGAAACCATTCTTCTTGTGAACAGGAACTGGATAAGGGTGCCCTCTCACCATTTTTATTCAATATTGTACTGGAAGTCCTAGTCTGGGCCATAAGGCAAGAAAGGGAAATCAAATGCATCCAAATTGGTAAAGAAGAAGTCAAAGTATCTCTGTTTCCTGATGATATGATCCTATAGCTCGAAAACCGAAGAGACTCAATCAAAAATCTGCTGGAACTAATGCAGAGATGTAGCATTGTGACAGGATACAAGATAAACATCCAAAAATCAGTCAGATTCTTCTATGCCAGCAAAGAGATTGCTGAAAAAGAAATAAGAAAATCAGTACCATTTACAATAGCTACCAAAAAAATAATATACTTGGGAATAAACCTTACCAGGGACACAAAAGACCTCTACAAAGAAAACTATAAAAAACTACTTCAAGAAACCATAAGAGACCTACATAAAGGAAGAACATTCCATGCTCGTGGATAGGAAGATTGAACATTGTGAAAATATCCATTCTACCCAAAATAGTCTGTACATTAAATGCTATCCAACCAGATCCCATCAACATTTTTAAGGATATGGAAAAACCAATCACCTAACTTTATATGGAAAGGAAAGAGACCTCGGATGAGCCATGCACTATTGAAGGAGAACAAAGTAGGAGGTCTCACACTGCCGGATCTCAAAACCTACTATACAGCCACAGTAGTCAAAACTGCCTGGTATTGGTACAGTGACAGACACATAGACCAATGGAATAGAATTGTGAACCCAGAAATAGATCCATCGACCTATGATCAGCTGATCTTTCATAGAGGGCCGAAATCCATTAAATGGGGAAGAGAATGTTTGTTTAATAAATGGTGCAGGCAAAACTGGATATCCATTTGCAGAAAAATGAAAGATGATCTGTACCTCTCATCATACACAAAAACGAACTCCTGATGGATCAAAGACTTAAATGTGAAAACCATAAAACTCCTCACGGAAAAACTAGGGGCAAATTTGGTAGTCCTCATATATGGCATAAATAGACTATCAAGCATAACAAAATGCACAAACAGCAGAAGAGAACCTAGATGATTGGGAGCTAATAAAAATTAAATTTGTATGTGCTTCCAAAGACTTCTCCAAAAGAGTCCATAGAGAACCTACAGATTGGAAAAAATATTTGGCAATGACTTATCTGACAAGGTACTTATCTCTAGAATTTATAGAAAACTCCAACACCTCAATAAGAGAAAAACAAATAATCCAGTTAAAAAATGGACAGAAGACATGAACAGACACTTCACCATGGAGGATATTCAGACAGCCAACAAACATCTGAAGAAATGCTCATGATCATTAGCCATTAGAGAGATGCAAATTTAAACAATAATGAGATACCATCTTGTCCCAGCACTAGTAGCAAAGTTCAACAAGACAGAAAATAACAAATGCTGGCGAGGATGTGGAGAGATTGGGACTCTCATACACTGCTGGTGGG